GAAAGTAATATATAAAAGGGACTTAAGGAGACAAACTAGGACCTGAAGTGTGTTGAACAACATAGATCTAGTGATAATGTTGTTTAAGTAGGCAGAGAAGTTTATCCAGAAGGCTATTGAGAAAACTGTTAGCAAGAAATTGTGAAATGGAAATTTTGTCATCAAATTTAGTCATTCTTTTAGAAAATTGCCAACTCATTGCTGCCATCTAGTGCCACTTGTCTTTTAAATTCTCTGAAGGAGCTTTTTTTTTTAAGTTGTGGCCTCACTGTTGCCCAGGCAGTGCCACCTATAGTCTTGCCAAATGATTGCACTTGAGTTTGAATAGGTCTTTGGTCTCAGGTGCTAGTTTCAGGAAATAAAAGGACAGAAGAATATGTGAAACTAAGTGTCATTCCTGAAAAATACAGGCTGGAACAGATTTCCCTGCCTTCTTAAATAGAAGATTTTTGGGTTTTGTTTTTTGAGTTGGAGTCTCACTCTGTCGCCCAGACGAGTGCAGTGGCCGCTTCCGGCCACCGCAGCCTCGACCTGCTGGGCTCCAGCGATCCTTCCTCCTCAGCCTTCCAAGTAGCCAGAATTACAGGCATACACTACCATGCCCAGCTGATTTTTTGATTTATTGTAGAGATGAGGTCTCGCTGCCCAGGCAGGTCTCGAACCCGTGGGCTCAGGCAATCCACTCACTTCAGCCTCCCAAAGTTGTGGGATTACAGGCTGAGCCACCGAGCCCGGCTAATAGAAGATTTTAGGTGAATGTAGTAGAAGGGAAACTTACCCTAAAAAAACAAATCCTCAAAGGCATCGGATTTTTTTTCCTGGGAAATCTATGATGTCTAGATTTATGAATGTAGGCAGTATTTTTTTTAAGTGCTTATGATGAAAGAATGGTGATTACTTTTGTCAGAAGAACAGAGGAAAGAACTGACAGTGAAATCAGCAACATGGAGCCTTCTGGGTTAGTTTTCAGATTTTACAAGGATCAGTCTGCTCTAGAACCTTCATCCTTTTTATTGACGTCCTTTATTCACCCACTATTGGATCATATAGAGACAAGGCCTCACAAGTTCCCCGGGCTGGTCTCGAGATCCTGGACTTGGGCAGTTCTCTTGTCTTTGCCTACCAAATTGCTGGGATTACGGGCATGAGCTACCATGCCCGACCAAGTTTGTCTGTTTTGGAGTTGAAGTCTCACTCTGTCATCCAGCTGGTTTCAGGTGATCCTTACGCCTCGTCCTTCCAAGTAGCTGGAGCTACAGGTGTGTGCTCTACCATGCCTGCTAATTTTTTGATAGAGTGTAGAGATGAGATATCTCACCAAGTTGCCCAGGCTGGTCTTGAACCCCTGGACTCGGGCAATCATCTTGCCTTGGCTGCCAAAAGTGCTGGGATTACAGGCTTAAGCCACTGTGCCTGACCAACAGTTTTTGTTTTTTTTTTTACTTCAAGTTGATTCTTTTTCTTTTTTCTTCTTTTTCGTTTAACTCTTGTCGCCCAGGCTGTAGTGCAGTGGTACCCTCATGGCCACCACAGCCTCAACCTGCTGCTCGCGGAAGTACAGGCATGCCCCACTAAGGTCAGCTACTTTTTGTTTATTGTAGAGATGAGCTCTCAGCAAGTTGCCCAGGCTGGTCTCGAATCTCTGGGCTCAGTCCCTCAAAGTGCTGGGTTTACAAGCTTGAGCCACTGTGCCCGGCCTGACTTCCAGAAATGTCACATTCTTAGATTCAAATGTCCAGTTTTTTTGGGAGGAGTGTTGTAATTTTGGGGGTCAGAGTCTCATTCTGTTGCCCAGGCTGGAATGCAGTGGCACACTCAAGGCCACTGCAGCCTAGAGCTGCTGGGCTTGGGTGATCCTTCCGCCTCAGCCTTCCAAGTAGCTGGAATTATAGGCACATACCACCACACCTGGCTATTTTTTCAATTTATTGTAGAGACGAGGTCTCACCAAGTTCCCCAATCTGGTCTCGAACCTGTGGGCTCAGGCAGTCTTCTCACCTATGCCTCCCAAAGTGCTGGGGTTATAAGCCTGAGCCACCATGCCTGGCTCCCTTTGCTTTTCAATAAATACCAGTTGATTGAGATTCTTTTAGGTATAAAGTTGCTTATTTTTGCTTTTCCTACTTTTAGTAATACTACCTATGTTGGCTACTGATTTGTCCTTGACACCTTGCATTTTGGAGTTTTGTTGTAAGTGTTGTCTCTGTGGGTTTTTAGTTTTGCCATCCTGGTGCTTTTCTTTGGGATTGGAAAGATGAAAGAACTGCTTTGCTGTTGCTGCTTCCTTCCAGGAATCCCAGTTCTTTTCCAACACTTTGTGTTTAGGGTATGGGCCATCATTCCTCCCCTCAAGGAAATTTCACCATTAAGGTATTTAAGCATTTGAGATCATTTGGTTATTTCTAACATTTTGGGAAATGTCTTCTCTCTTCAATAAAATTTTGAATGACTACCACTAGAATGTAAGCTTGGAGAATCATACCTGTTACTGTTTTCCCCCTGAAGTGGGCCTGGCACTTAGTAGATACTCAATACATGATAGACCAAAAAAAAAAAATTAATTTGTATGTAGTAACTTCACTAATTTTTTAGAAGGATATGTTTCTAGGTATGGGATTATAGGATCTTTGTGTGTCTTTTCTGTTGCCCATATCTTGATTTAAATTCTCATAGAAAGTGAGAAGATTGAAAACTATTCCAATAACTTTAGCCAAGCTTTTGAAGTTGGAATCATTACTTTTCTTTTAACAAGCAATTTGTGTTTTTTTGTAGCAAATATAAAAATCACATAACCAGAGAAAATAAGAAAATCATATCCTTAAACTCAGATGACAGTCATTGTTAGTCTTTTCTTGTATACCTGGTTGCGTTTCATTAAGCCCTAATATTTAAAAGACATTTTTATTGTATATGAAACCTAGACACCTAGGTTGGTACTAACTCTGTACCATGCTTGTGAAAACTGGACAATGATAATTTAAATTCATTTATTTTTGTGGTTCAGTGTCCTCTTTGAATAGACATTGAATTCACTATCTGTGGTTTGGTGTTTTTTCTCTGTGTACGTACAGCATGTTGGTTGCATGAAGAGCTGCCCCTGCCCATTCCAAGTCAGATTATTTCTTATTAACAAAGGAAGCTTTATCTATGTTAATATTGATAAATTCATTACTAGTGAGAAACAGTTGCTGAAAACTGGCTTATACATTAATGTTTATTGGTAGCAACAGTGGTATCTGAAACCAGTTGAATTTTTTTTGCAGGTTTTTATTTTAATTATTCTCAGACTTTCTGGTTCACTTAATAGCTGAAAAGCTATTACTGATTTTCAGTGGATACTGTTTATTTGCTTAATCTTAGAAGATTAAGAATAATTATTTGTAAAGATAAAACATTGATAAAGACAGACTTTTGAGTTTCAGGAAGGTTTGAAAGCAGCTGAAGTTGTTAAACTTTTAAACCAGGACTGCCTGTTAAATGACTGTTTTAAGGATCAGAATGCATAGGCTGTCATGTATAAATGGTGTCTTGCTACCTGTTTTATTGTGTAATTTGTATATGTAAGACATTTTTACATCACCCATATGAACTGGATTGTTATAATTCATTTCAGATTTGGAAGGATAACAAATACTAGACAACACTGATAGCTTTTTCTTTCTTTCTCTTTCTTTTTTTCTTTTTGAACTGGCGTTTTCACTCATTCACCCAAACTGGGAAGGCAGTGGCATGATCCCAGCTCACTGCAGGTTTCATTTCTGCCTCAGCCACTCAAGTAGCTGGGGCTACAGGCGCATGCCATCACGCCCAGCCTTTCTTTTCTTTTCTTTTTTTTTTTTTTTTAAAGCTACAGAGTCTCAGCATGTTGTTGCCCAGGCTGGTTTTCAGCTCCTGGGCTCAAGCAGTCTTACCACCTTGGCCTCCCAAAGTGCTGAGACTACAGGCGCCCACTGTGCCCAGCCAGACACTGTTATCTTTTGGATTTGAGGTCATTGGTACCTTTCAAAGGGATGAGGGGGAAATCATTTAATCTTATGAGTGTTACTCTTTCAATTCTATTCATGGATGAGGGTTGTAGTACAAAAAGACTACAGGCATAAATGCTAAAGGAATGTGAAATAAAACATTTTCAGCTACTTGAAATGATATTGTGAATGTTATGAATGGATTTAACCTCCATCACGTACATAAAGAGAAAATTTTTGGTTTTAAATGATCTGTTTAAAGTTGTATTCTCCTTTAGTTTCCCTGGTTTTTTTGATCCATGCAGCGTTCCACTGTCTAGTTTTATCATCATCACCATCCAATATTATTTAATATGCTAGCTATTTTATAGGTTATTATGTAAAAAGTAGGCTTGGAGTCATTGCATTCTGTTAAAAGATGGTATTAATACTTCTGTATCTATGGCATGTTACAAGTCAATTGAAATACTTGAAAATAATCTATTTCTGGGGGAAAGAATTGATTATATTTCTTGCTTTTGTGTGAGAATATTATACTTAAAGGGTAAGTGTAAGCTGTACACATTGATCTAGCTAATGAATAGTCTGGGGCAAAACTTAGCATTTTGTATATGTTGGAAATTGTTGAAACTTTTTAGCAGTGTGTAAGAAGAGTGTTAATGGCAAGGAATGCTTAGCAAGACTAGTAACACCAACAACAGGTTGGTCACACAAAATTTAGGGGTTTCTGATTTGCTTGAGAACGTCAAAACAGGGATGTGTTACTTGGAATTAATAATGTCCAAGAGGATTATATTGCCAATAATCTGCACTGGAAGAGTTTTTTTCTTGTGAATTTATAATTTAATGCCAGGGAAATAATAATTAGGAAGTGGACTGTTAATGGGTATGTTCAGGGCTTGAGTCTCTGAATAGTAATATATTGTTGACTTACACGCTATAGACAGTCACAGTGGTACACAGTGCAACTGGAGAGATTTATCAAGAAAAACTATTTTTTAACATCTGTTTACCCAAGTGCTTTTTTCTTTACAGTTTTTCGGCTTCGTGAGGAACCTTATCATCAAACACAATGGCTAGCAATGTTACCAACAAGACAGATCCTCGCTCCATGAACTCCCGTGTATTCATCGGGAATCTTAACACTCTTGTGGTCAAGAAGTCTGATGTGGAGGCAATTTTTTCGAAGTATGGCAAAATTGTGGGTTGCTCTGTTCATAAGGGCTTTGCCTTCGTTCAGTATGTTAATGAGAGGAATGCCCGGGCTGCTGTAGCAGGAGAGGATGGCAGAATGATTGCTGGCCAGGTTTTAGGTAAGGTCTGGGATAAATGATTTTTTTTTTTTAATGGATGATATAATTAACACCTTAGTTTTTCTGTTGCTGTTTCTTTTTGTGTGTCTCTTTCTTTAAAACTAACAGTCTGAGACATTTTGGAGTTGTGACTATGACTTTTAGCATTATAAATGCTAGCTTCATAAACATGTTAGGCTTACAGTTGTAATGGTTTAAATAAAGGAGATTCTTGGTGTCGTTTTGTGTAGTAGACTCTAGACAGCCTTCAGTTGTGACTGTCTTGAATAAGAGAGGTGAGAGTGATATTTCCTAATGTAGAAATGTTGCCTAAATGGCTGTGTCATACTCATGGTAGGCTGGGAAGTCTACTGTGTTAGTCAAGTGTTGGACCCTACAGTCATTCTTCTGGCTCTGCATTGGGCTACCACTGCTCTGTGTTTGGGCAAACTGTACAGATTGGCTAGTTCTTAAATTTTCTTACCTTTTAAAATGAGATGATAGTACTTACAGTACTTATTATCTGTAATATGTTTTGTTTAACCCAGAATCGAATCCATGTCTATGTGCATTTATCATATGTCTGTTTTTACTTAACTTCTCTCTCTATGTGTGCTTTGTGCCGATTTCAAAATAAACATACCTGTTTTTTTCTTAGCAAAATTAAAGTTACGAATTTCAACTTTATATTTGAGATTCTGTATATTCTTAGCATATATTCTATGGATATTGACTAGAAGTGTGGTAGAGTTACATTAAATCTTTGATGTTACATAATTTAATTTGATAACATAATTAGGGCCTATTGTTATTTTTATGTCTCATGGATTGCTTTTTCAGAAACGTAATTCTCTCAACTTTTATAAAAGTGAAAAACAAGTTACAATCTTTAGAGGATGTGGAATTGTGAAGGTTATTCGTTCAGATAATAGTGTTTTAGCAAATAGTATGTAAAATCTATTTTCATTTCATTTAAACTACCTTTGTATAGTTATCCACAATCATCTTCTTAAAGAATGGTTCACTGTAGAATTTGGAGTCTTGTGTAGTTTGTGGGAGAGTGAACAATATTCATTGTAATGAAATCAATGTGTATGAAGATGGGAGTTACTGATAGGAAAGATAAAAGGCTCGCTTTTATTTTATTTGATTTATTTTATTATTATTATTTTTTTGAGTTGGAGTCTCACTCTGTCGCCCAGACTGGAGTGCAGTGGCCGCTCCCAGCCACCGCAGCCTTAACCTGCTGGGCTCCGTGATCCTTCCGCCTCAGTCTTCCAAGGAGCTGGAACTACAGGCGTGTGCTACCACGCCTGGCTAATTTTTTTGATTTATTGTAGAGATGAGAGGTTGCCAAGTTACCCAGGTGGGTCTCGAGCCGCGGGCTCAGGCATTCCACTCACCTCAGCCTCCCAAAGCGTGGGATTACAGGCTGAGCCACCGAGTCCAGCTGGTCAGAGAACTTTTTATCTTGTTTTTATTATTATTTTTTTCTGAGTTGGAGTCTCACTCTGTCATCCAGGCTGTAGTGCAGTGGCATGATCACAGCTCACTGCAACCTCAAACTCCTGGGCTCAGGTTATCTGTTTGCCTTAGGCTCCTGAGTAGCTGGGACTACATGCTTGTGCTGTCACTAGCAGCTAAGTTTTTTATTTTTTTGTAGAGTCAGCTCTGGTTTTGCTGCCTGGGTTGGTCTCGAGCTTCTGGGCTCAAGCGGTCTTCCTACCTCATTTTTCATTAGAATTTGGCTTTTAGTATTGAGCCGCCATGCCCAACCAAATGGACAAGAGGGAGGGAGAATATGAACTCATTTCGCAGTGCATGGTGTAGGGTAGGTAAATGGGCATTCTGGAATAAATATTAGAGTAGAATTTATTTTGAAAGCCTTTTTTTCCCTTGCATTTTTATTTTTTCTACTTTGGGTGTATGCCGAGTTTGTTTACTTAAGCAATTCATTGTTCACATAGCAGTTCTTAACCAGAATATTTTCTTTGTTTTGTTTTGGGTTTTTTTGCTTTTTTCTTTCTTTTTTTGGATTGGAGTCTCACTCCGTTACCAAGGCTGGAGTGCAGTGGCACGCTCACAGCCACCGCAGTCTCTACCTGCTAGACTGAGGCAATCCTTCCGCCTCAGCCTTCCAAGTAGCTAGAACTACAGGCACACACCACCACATCTGGCTAGTTTTGTGATTTATTGTAGAGACAAGATCTTACCGAGTTGCCCAAGCTGATCTCGAACCCATGGGCTCAGGCAATCCTCTTGCCTCGGCCTCCCCAAGTGATTACAGGCTGAGCCGCCTCACCCTTGTTAGTTTTTTTTTTTTTTTTCCTTTCTTAAAATCCAGGAGGGCTATGCAAGTATACAGCTAGTCTTATGAGGAAAATATAAATTTGCCTTTGAGGCTGAATAAGGGTGCCACACATTAATGAATTGCCATGTTTTATAGCTGAGATTTTGTTCACTCATTCTAATGTATTTTTTAATAATTTTTAAATATACAGAACCATTCCTGGAAAGGTGATCATTCTTACTTAAATCATTGATACTTTTCTCCTGAGATAGTAACTGAGTGAACAGCGTTGGTGTCGATTGGTGAGCATTGAGCGAAAGTGGAAGCTGAGGGTTTCGAGTACTGAAGACAGACTTAGTGTTATGCTTCACAAGCTTTTTTTTAATGTACCGAACAGAGCACAAAGAAAGAAATAGAAGACTAAGTCCTAGGCTTGTGAAAATCTGTGGGCCTTTTTTATATGAGAAGGAAAGATGAGATACACTGTTTGATATTTTCTGATTTATATGTCTGTGTATACATCTAAAACCTGTGGTTTGAAATAGTTATATTCTCAGAGGCAACATCAGAATTTTTGCTTTTGTTTTTTCAGATATTAATCTGGCTGCAGAGCCAAAAGTGAACCGAGGAAAAGCAGGTGTGAAACGATCTGCAGCGGAGATGTACGGGTCAGTACCAGAACACCCTTCTCCGTCCCCTCTACTCAGGTCCGGAACTTTATTATTTATAACTGCATTGTGTCCATCAGTGGGCATCTTCTCTATCTGTTTTCTGGATGTGGGGAGGGTTGAATGTAGTATTATCTGTTTAAAAGTTATGCTGTTTATGTTAATGCCTCTTTTTTGCCCTAGAGAAAATTGCTGGGGAATTTTTAGAAATCCCTGAGGTTTATACTATTAAAGAGTAATTTGATATTTATAGCATAAATTGAAATACATTTAGCGTAGTCTATGAGCTCCTAAGAAGTTGAGGAATAAGAAAAGGGAGGCGAGTGGTATAAGAATGTTTAGTTTACCATTGTATTTTTCAGTGTTTTTATGTTAGCTATGTTTGAAATTTTAGCAGACTTTAACTTGAATTACCTGTTTGACCACTCTGAATAGTGGCCTAAGGTGATTGGAGTTAAGTGTTTTATTGTTTAAATGATTGGGGATTATTTCATGCTAACCTTGTTGATCTGTTTGTTGTGGATTATTTGGGATGGGTTTCCCCTCGTCTATTGTTGTGAATTAATACCAGCAACTCCAAATTAATCCTCTTTGATATTTTTTTTTTCCAGCTCCTCTTTTGACTTGGACTACGACTTTCAGCGGGATTATTATGACAGGTATGTTAAAAGTTTTATTTTACCCATTCTAGTAGTAAACTAATGAGAACCATTTTGTTGTCCTTTTTTGTAGTGATGAACAACAAACATGACATGTTCCCTTTTGCTTAAAACACATCATAAAATACTTCCTAAGACTAGATTAAGTAGAGTCACATTAAAATCAATCATTTTTGTATGCCAGATAAAGAAAAGGTTATCTGGCTTGCCTAATCCATGTCGTCATCATTTTTCTGTTAAATTCAGTCATGCGCTCTATGATGATATTTCTTTCAACAGTAGACCACATATACAGTGGTGGTCACATAAAGTTATAATTCTTTCTATGACAAGTACTTAGCATTGTTACAATTGCCTGCAATGTTCAGTACCCTAATGTGTACAGATTTGCAGCCTAGGAACAATAGGATGTTCCACGTGGCCTAGGTGTGCAGGAGGCTATACCTGCTAGGTCTGTGTATGCACTCTCTATGATGGTCACAGAAGGACAGCATGCCGAATTACGCATTTCCCAGAATATATTCCTTTTGTTAAGCAACACATGACTGTAATTGTCACTTAGTTAGTCATGGTAGTGGAAATAGTGATAGCTAGCCTTAACAATCCCTTAGACTCCTGTGAGCATTCAAACTAATATAAAATAGAATAAAGTAAGCAGTAGGTAATGAATTAATACTAATTGCTTTGGAAGTTAATGTTCAAAGGTTAAGTATTGTACATCAAATTGGGGAGTAGTGATACTGTATTGTAAGAAGTAAGGATGTTATCATGTTGTCAGAAAACCGTTGGTATTGGAGAGTCATCAAAAACAAAACTGAAAGATGTGTGAAAAGGGCTTGGTTAATGATGGCTTTTAATATTGAAGGTGGAACAAGTGTAGTAATTAACTACATAAAGTGAATATGCCAAAGAAAGTTATTCTGATAACAGTAGTTTTAACTAAGGAAACATTACGTTTACTTGGCTATGCAGTATACAAGAGTATATGGTGCAAACTATATTGTATCTGTACAATATGCTTTTTAAAAGTATGGTACCCCTTTATTTATGAATATTGTGCTATTTTCTTTTTAGAATGTCTGTTTTCCAGTCATCAGTATTTTTACGTTACTGATGTATATAACAATTCCATCTTTGTTCTTGGATTTTAAAAGTTTCCTTGGTCTTTTTCTGTGTGAAGCAGATAAACTTTACATTCTATTGTGAATAAGCAAGCTTGAAAAAACATTGTTTTAAGTGAGAGATTTGGGAAATGAGATAGTAGACCATATACCACTGTTGTTCTATCTTAAAAGCTGGTGGCTTCTGTCCTTAGGTTTTCAGTAGGAAAGAGTATTTTTAGTTATTCTCTGATGTATTGTAGTGAAGCTCATAGGAAGATTGTTTCCTTAGGGAGGAAAGTGGCTAATCTAATACTTTTTTGCTGGTAGGTTAGGCAGGATCTGAGAAATAATAGGTTGGATATAGGACCTGATGGGGTGGCAAAACCACTTAGAAAAATGATATCCTCCCGGAAGTAATTCTGAAGATACACGGTTCAGATTCTTATAATCATAATTATTAACAGTGCATCAACTACTCTTTAATAAAAGAATATGGGAAATTAGTAATAAAAGAATATGGGAAATTAGCTCTGACTTGTGCTTGAAAACTCTAGGTCTTCTATATAAATGAGGGTTAAATCACTATCCACTGGAGGTTTGAATATCCTCTAATCACAACTTTACGGCCTTGAAATTTATGTGGGCTGGGTTTGGTGGCTCAGCCTGTAATCCCAGCGCTTTAGGAGGCCGAGGTGAGTGGATTGCCTGAGCCCGTGGGTTCAACACCCGCTTGGGCAACTGGGCGAGACCTTGTCTCTACAATAAATTAAAAATTAGCTGGGCATGGTAGCATGCGCCTGTAGTTCCAGCTACTTGGTAGACTGAGGCAGAAGGATCACCGGAGCCCAGCAGGTCAAGGCTGCGGTGGCCAGGAGTGGCCACTGCACTCCATTCTGGGCGACAGAGTGAGACTCCAACTCAAAAAGAAAAGAAATTTACGTGAAGTAATTCGGGCCTAAATTTGGTATTTTTTAAAGACTATTTTTTTATTACCAGCTTCTGGTATTTTATGTTTTAGTATTTTGTGGTAGGACGATTGCTGCTGTGGTGCAGAGCAAAGAATTAATTCTAAGAATCCCAGCCGGGCACGGTGGCTCATGCTTTTAATCCCAGCGCTTTGGTAGACCAGAGACCATTTGATTGCCTGAGCCCAGAGATGTGACACATCATCTCTACGATAATTAAAAAATTAACTGGGTATGGTGACACAAGCCTGTGATTCCTGTTACTTGAAAGACTGAGGTTGAAGACTGCAAGTCAAGGCTTTGGTAGCTGTCAGTGTGCCACTGCACTCCAGACTGGGCAACAGGGTGTCACTCAGACTGAAGGGAATAAAAAAGAATCCATATCCTTTTCAGATTGTGATCGAAGACATTAAATAATAAAATATCAGCTTTTTTATGACTAGATGGGAATAGTGCAGGCTACTCACAGGGTTACTATGAATACTAAAGGAGCATAAAAGACATGAATCTGCATTAAATAACCCAGAAGTATTGGCATAAGTATCTACTATTAAGCAAGAATTCTCAGCCTTTTTAAAGCATGGTAATTTCTTTCTCTCTGTCTTTCTAGTTGGGGTCTCACTATTGCCCAGGCTGGAGTGTGTGGTACACTCCACTGCACCCTTGACCTGCTGGGTTCAGTTGATCCTTCCGTCTCAGCTTTCCAAGTAGCTGGAACTACAGGCGTGTACCATCATGCCTGACTAATTTTTTAAAAAAATTATTTTTTTAATTTATTGTAAAGACAAGGTCCTGCCAAGTTTCCCAGTCTTGTCTCAGACAATCCTCCCCCCTCAGCCTCCCAAAGTGATGGGATTAGAGGCTTGACTGCAGCAGCCTAATAATTTCTTTCTACAATCAAAAATCTCCAGATTCTTTGCATTCTGAAGATAATGAAATTTACACTTCTGAATTTCTATTTTAGCCCTGTTTACACTGACATACATTATTGTTACTGCATATTTTTTTGATTCAGATCAAAATGAAAGGAATCATGGACTCTTCCCACCCCTCCCACCTAAAATAACATCTACTCTACCGAGGATTGTGTATTAAATTTCCATGTATTTACCACCTAACCTCAACAGTTAGTTTTCAATTGTCTTTTATCTATTCCTCCATCCCCAGTTATCTTGAAGCATTCCTCTGGCTTATTTTGTCCATAAAGACTTCACTGTATATCTTTAGAAGATAAGAATTGCTTTTATAAAGAAATACAATTTATACTTCTTTTATCTCACCAGCATTTTGTCCTCTTCCACAGATTGTATTTTGTGTTGCTTAGCATGTTCTTCTATCTGTATTTCTTCTCAATTGGTATAGATTGAGTATCCTAAATCTAAAGTGCTCCAAAATCTAAGATTTTGAAAAACAGCATAGCATGTTAAGGAAATGCTCATTGGAGCTTGCATTGAGTGTTTTGTAAGGAGAAACAGGGATTTGTATTTTTACTTGGATTTTTGTGGGTATTAGTCAGGTTTTTACCTTTAAAATGAAGGATAGTCAAAATTAAGTAACATCTTAATATGCTGTCTTCTGAGGAGATAACAGTTGAATTATGTAGCTTTAATGTTGTACTGTAGTAAGGTTATTAGTCTTTATGTTGGGGTGGGAGTTAAGAACTAGTGCCTGAGATAATCAGGGATTACCTTAGTTTTGAATGAATTTTTAGTGTAAGTTTTGCTGTTGCCATTTTGTTCTTGTACATTTTTGAATTCTTGAGTATTCCAGAAGGACTCCTAGAAATAGTTATTAGGTTTTTTTCTGGAAGTTAATCTTTTTCACTGAATTTATACACATTCTGTTTCTAATTGTTTTTAAGACTGTACCTAATTTTACAAGTGTTAGATGTTCTTAGATGAGTTCAGATGTTGCCAATGTATGTGAAATTACCATTTTAGGTCTGTTAAACCTCTGACACTCAAAATACCAGTATCAGCTCTTGTAAATACACTATTAATCATGTCTTACACAGTTTTATTACCTAGAGACTTGTTGGCCAACATTTTTTTTCCTGATAGTTATACAAGTTTCCTTTTAGCTGTAGGTTGCAATATTCGTGGGCTCTTTGTAAAATATAAGTTGAGAGAAGTTAAGTTTCCCTTGTGTGGGGAACATTATTTGTTGCTTCTAGGAAAATTGTTGCCAGAAACAGGTATTGGTAGAGGACAAGCCGCCCACTCCCCCTTTGAGCCATGGTCTTATTTTGTTCCTCTGGCTGCAGTGCAGTGCCATGATCACACAGCTCAATGCACCCTCAGTCTCTCGGGCTCAGGGAATCTTTTTGCCTCATCCTCCCAAGTAGCTGGGGCTACATGCACGTACCACCATGTCTGGCTAATTTTTCTGTAGATATGTTTCGCTATGTTGCCTAGGCCAATCTCGAACTCCTGGACTCAAGCATTCATCTCCCCTTGACCCCCCAAAGTGCTGGTGTTACAGGCATAGAGCTACTGTGCACAGACATAGTTTTGTTTTGTTTAGTTTTTCAGTTGGAATCTTTCTGTCTCCCAAGCTGGAGTGCAGTAGCATTTGCATGGCTACTACAGTCTCGACTTGCTGGGCTCAGGTGATCCTTCAGCCTCAGCCTTCCAAGTAGCTGGAACTACAGACTCGTTCCACCATGGCTGGCTAATATTTTTTATTATAGAGATGAGGTCTTGCCAAGTTACCTGGGCTTGGGCAGTCCTCTTGTCTCAGCCTCCCAAAGTGCTGGGATTATAGGTGTGAGCAGTCCTCTTGTCTCAGCCTCCCAAAGTGCTGGGATTATAGGTGTGAGCAGTCCTCTTGTCTCAGCCTCCCAAAGTGCTGGGATTATAGGTGTGAGCCACCACGCCTGGCCAGACATAGTTATATCATCAGGACTTTAGAAATACTTTGCAGTGACTTAGTT